ATATTATTATAACGCGCCGGTGTAGCAGTCATAATTGGACTCCGTGAAAAACGGTTTTTAATTTTAGCCCTATTTCTCTCTCGATTAATTGTGCAGCGATCACACTGCGGCGGTTATTATTTTGTTTTATAAATACGTGTACACAGCTTGTAAATAGTTTGGACGCGGACTCGTGCGTAACTCACCTGCTACGACCAGCCGCGAATACGACGACGACAGTCACACGTAACTCTCTCGTTCGACCCGCTAATGTTGCAGTTCCGGTCAGGGTCGGGCTCGTACGCATAATATATACGTCCGAATAACAACCGACGAAATGAAAGGGATAAGTCGCTCGCCGCACAGGATTAATGAAATTTCGGCAAACAACTCGCCGCCGCCGTGGAGGACCGGGTTCTCACGTGTAGTCCCCGTCGGCCGTCTCCCGATACCGGTACGGGGGGGGGACAGGGGCAGGGGAAACGGGAGTGCGAGGGAAAGCACCTTGGGCGGGAGGGGTGGCCAGTCTGCATTCCGACCGGGCAGGTCGGCCCCGTGACCTACATTTGTCGTCGTCGTCGTCTTCTTCGTTGCTTCTCGCGTACCTATACACCTATCGCGAGTGTACTTCGCGGCGGTATACTATAGTACGCGCGCGCGCGCATACACACCGCTCCGGGCTTAACCGCCTCCCCTCCTGCAGCTTTTCGTATTTATTTATTTTTTGTCCATCGTACTATGCGTAACACTGCGCACGCACACGCTTATTCTAAGCGGAACCCCATTTTATGTATATATTACATGTTTACTGTACAGTGTACAACGAGGACTCAATATACACCAGAGCTGCCACGTTCAGTGGTGTCGGAAGCGAAAGGAAGCCGCCGCCTCCGACAGGGGCTAACCGAATAACTACTTCCTCCTTCTATTCCTCCTGAAGTTTGTGAATAACACTATTATAATATCACAGCACGCCATTTGCGTATACGCACAGCCGTATGGAAAGTAAAAAAATAATAATAATAATAATAATAATAAACCCGGTATTAACGATCCATTGATATTATACGTACACACACCTGTCGGGACCACACGTATTTTTCTATATGAATGTAGAGTATAACAAAATGTATTATATACTCTAAATATACTTATACAGAGTGACCCTTTTATCATGGAACGATGATTTTCTCGGTGGATTTTAAGTGAATTCGTTTTTCTCATCATTATCTTTTCAATTTCTATGGAAAATTTTAAGCTTTTTTCAACGCTATCATCATGTTTTAGATTCTGAGCGAAGCGAATAATGTATTTTATTTTATGTGAACAACTTTTCTACCATCAATTTTGCTTCGATTTTTACAATGATAACATTTTTTTTGAAAGGAAATCTGACTGGGGGTGGTACTTTAAGAAGGTCAATGGGAAAACAGGTACAATATCAAACCTAACCCAACTTACCTTCCTAATTTATCGCCTACAACAGTGGCCCACCAATCATGTGAATTAAGTCCGTAACTTTTTTCCCCTACTGCTTATTGTATAACGATTAAAACAAACAGTAATCAAATAATTCACTTAAAATCTTCCGAGAAAATCGCTGGTTCGTGGTAAATAATGGATCATTGTGTACATCAATATATATTATACACCCACCGGTTAATAATTTTACATGACATGTTTATATGCGTGCGTGTGTGCGTATGTTTGTGTGTGTGTGTGTATTTTATTAGCGTGCCATTGATTAGCGTCGTCGAATTAAGTGTGTATACCCACCTAGAATACATTAAACAAACACCCCGCACATGTAACACCACAGGACTACCCAAAATAATTATTATCATTATCGCCATTATTTCCCGATTTCCAATCGATTATTATATTGTCCGCCAACGAATTTTTCATTTTATTTTGTTTCTGTATATTATATTATAGTTTTTGTAAGATATCGGTCTATATATATATATATACACAAAATGTCCCACGAGGATTCGACAAATGCAATAAATTTTGTTCTAATTAATATTTTTGATGTACATTTTTTTTAAAATAATTATTATGCCTCATCGTTACAGTTTATATACGAGTAATTTTGTTTAGGGGGCAGGGGACATAAATAAAAAATTAAAATTTGACTATAATTTTTTTTTAAAAAAACTCAAAATAGCCATTTTGTAAAATAAATTATTAGACAATTTTTGGTAGTTGAAACTTTCGTTAAAGTATGGTCTTTTATTTTCTACGACTTATTGAAAATTTGAATAGTTTTTTTTTTCAATAATAATAATATTGTACACCAATATAAATTACCATTATTAAATTATTGAAACTACCTTATAACTATAATATGATAATATATTGCATGATATTAACTCATTGAAAATAAAATCCTGACTACTAACTGATAACTGAATAACCACAATAGGTAATATTCACATTTGCAAAAATTTCAAAAAATCATAGAAAATAAAAGACCATACTTTAGCAAAAGTTTCAACCACCGAAATTTTTCTAAAAGTCCTTTTTTATAAAATGGCCAAATTGAAGTTTTTTAAAAAATTATAGTAAAATTTTAAATTTTTTATTTTAAGTCATTCTCCCCCTAAAAAAAAATGTTCGTATATAAACTGTAACGCTGAGGTATACTAATTATTTAAAAAAAAATGTTATATTAAAATTATTGAATAGAACAAAAGTTATTGCATTTTTCGAATCCTCATTGGACACTTTGTATACATATAACAAGAAAAAAAAAGCGACGGGAAAATTAATTTACCGTGTATGACCAAACACGCTGGTTTATCTATTATTAAAAATCTCATTACAACACGGCTAGTACCTATATTATACACTTTAATTATTATTCGTTCGATTTTAGGCGGGCATAATACTTTATTAAACGCAAACGATTTAAGATATTACAATTATTATTGAATTACGTTATAAAAAAAAAAAAAAAATGATAATGATAATAAAGATAATGGCGATGGGTGCACCCACTGGTGAAGGTGGGGAATTGAAAAGCAACGATAAACCACGGCTTACGAAAAAACAATTCTGAGCTAAGTTAAGTAATATTTGTGAACAATATATATATATATATATATATATGTCATTTTGTACTAAAATAATTAAATAGGCTTTATATATTTTCTATAGTAAAATTTGTTTAATGTTTTACCAACTTTCCCAGTTTTCCCATGTTTTATCCCGGTTTTTCACATTTGCTGTAAAAACTTCCTGCGAAAATCAAAAAATGTCCTCCTTAAAGTACCTCTCCACGCCGATTTACTTTTAGAAAAGGTGCTACACGTGGAAGCCCAAGTAAGTCTTCTGGTAAAAAAGTTGCACACAGTAATAAAAAAAAAAATAAACATCTTCGCTTCACTCAGAAACATAAATTCTGTACAAAAAAACGAGTGACATAAGTACACGATATGAACGCAGAACGATTGATGACAATTACAGGCGTGCATTTATATTTAAAAGTGATTTTGGATCATATATACTTCACATGTTAAAATGAAACGTTAGTTTATTTAGTACAAATAGGAATAACAATAGTAAATTAAAATGAATATCAATAATTTTTCTCGTATCGTTTCAAGTATCAAGTTTCAAATGTTCAAAGATCAAATAAAGTAAAGGTCAACATAATGCGTAAATTTTTGATTAATCTTAAATATCGTCCGCAATATAAAAATCATACATACATATTAGGTGGCCGGAGTAGGTGATATTTTAATACATTTTTACCAGATGACAATGCGTAATAATTTTAAGGGATTTACTATATTACCCCTCCCTTTCCTCCGGTTTCAAACAAAAATATATAATATTCACAGGTATGAAAACATTTTTTTAAAAATGCAAACCAGTGTAAAACCAATAAATTCCTTGCTGCGTTCAAAATATCGCCTGTTTATTTTAACATATTACCTATACTAGGGGTTACGAAAATGTTTCATTGCTCGACATTTATGTCAACTAGTGCAATACTAAGTTAAAATGACCATTATGAAGGGAGGGATGGATATAAATCATTAAAAATATCAAACTGTATCATAATTATTAAAAATCTTCGAATCAATACAAATTATTTATGTAGTAATGGAAAGAGTAATATTTTTCATGACGTCTAAAATCAAATATTATCATAATCACAAAAACTAATCAGCACATTCATAAATAAAATAATTGAAATCATACAATAAACTTTGCTTGAGTAATTTGGTGCAGTTTTTTTTTTATATTAATAAACGCAATGGTATTTAGATATTTATTGTTTAAATTGTATATATATATATATATAAATTTACTATTGCTTAGAATAAGCCAGCCTATAACCTAAACCGAACCTATATTATTTTATAAGAACAACGCAGATGCGGATAGAAGTCGGTCGCGATAATTCGTGTATGTAAAGAGAGATACAAAAGTTTTAACTGATAATAAAATTATTATTATGTTAACGGTAGGTAGGTAACTGTAAAATATCTCTTTGTAATAAATAATAATGTACAAATGTAATGAATATTATACGACTCTATAATAATATAATTATAATTAGAGTTCGGATGTGTTTATGCACTGAAAAATACTTAAAAAAAAAAATGTGTGGTTATGCTCTTATAAAAGTGGCAAATTAGATATATGCATATAAAAATAATATATAGGTATTTATATACCTATATACCTACCTACCTACATTAAAAATCTTTCAGTGTATATGATTTTGTGCGATAAACCAACAAAATGTGTGTTAGAAAGTTATTAAAATATATAACTGATAATAATAATAATATGCAACTCCGCGTGTAATTAAATCATTAATTTCATATAAAATATAAACTATGAAAATGTTGTCCTAGGATAATGGGGACGGTTACAGTTACTGTTATAGGTAATTCAATGTATATCTGTAAGCAACTATTAACCATTTTTAACGGAAAAACGATTCTGAGCGGAGTTCAATTGCTTTTTAAATTATTATTCTCCTGTGAAAATCGAAAAATTACCTCTTTAAAGTACCTCCCCAGTTGGATTTCCTTTTGTATATAACAATTGATATCATTATAAATCGGAGCAAAATTGCTGGTAGGAAAGTTGTCTACAGATAAAAAAAATTAATAATAAACATCGTTGTAAAACCAATACAGTCCTCGCTCCGTTCAGAATTTAAAAATAATAAATTTTAATATCAAAATAATAATAAGATTATACGATTTATTTAATTTCAGTAAAGTATAATTTTTTATGGTCGAAATATTTGTACATGTTTATAATCCAAAACGACGTCAATTAAAGACTTATATTTTATTTGATAATATATTTTCATTTATGGCGATAACTCGAAAGAAAACGTTAATCGGAATTATTTTCATCGATTTCGGTCTGTTTGTGGTCATTGTGCAACATGGGATGCTTGTTGTTGGCGGTCTTCTTCTGATTGGTCGAAGCAATTTTCGTACCACCATAGTACAGGGGCTCAATGGCGGGACTACAATCGTCCTGGACCATGGGGAACGTGTATTCGAGCTGTACGCCGTACTTGGGCAATTTGTCGTGCACGTAACTGCGCACGTTGACCGGCACTGTCCTGTTCCTGGACAACAGGATACTGGACAGGTAACGGGGGCTGGACGGTTTTTCCGCGCAGTGCAACAGCACCGCCCACGTGTCCTTGCAGTCCATCACGTACGTGTTGTAAACGCCTTCATCTGCCCAAAATAAATCGAACGAAAAATAAAATGAAAATTCAAAATGTGTTTTTCGCGTCTCGTTATTTTTACAGTTTTATTTGCAGACTTGACTAAATAATGGACTTCTTTATCCAAAATAATACGATCACAGTCAGTCGTATAGTTAATAGACTATATCGAGTGTCGAACGAGCAAACAAATGAAGGACTTTAGATGCCCCCCTCCTCTAAAAAAAAAATTACTTAATCGTACCCCTTTGTGTGGAAGAGTAATTTTTGTTTCGCATTGTATATTTATTACGTTAGACTTACACGGAGTTTCCATGTGGACCCAGTGACCGGGAAATTCGATGTTCGGGATGTTCCATGTGATGTTCCCGATTAACAACTCGTTGTCTGGGTCGTCTGCGTAGCTATACGTAAAATTCATGGAAATCTCCGGCACGTCCGGCGACAGGTTGAATGTCGATCTCATACATCTATAGATCTCCACCTCCTCAGAGCTCGCGTAATACTCGATCACGTTCCACGCCCCTTTAATCTGTAGCACACGTTTTCCATGAGTATTATTTTTATATATATCATCATATATATATAGGGATAATTTGTAATTGACAACTATCCATAGTAGAAACACTGATTACCTATCGAATCGGTGATATATGATTGCGTACGTTTGTCCCTTTTGGTGGCCCGATTACATACATGTGTACGAGTACGTACAATTTCTGTACCTGACTCTTAAAAATATTACGATTGTGTACAAAAATGAGTGCAACGTTGTCAACATACACTATTCAGTTTATTTACTATATGTGTACAATTTTTATGTAAACGTATAACATACGAATACCTAGTGGCTATAATGAATATAGCAAACTAACTGTTAAGTAAAAATTATGCGTGAATAGTTAAAAAATTATTTTAAGTTATATTTTATCAGGTACTATTGAAATAAAATCAATAGTAGTCAATTAAAAAATATTATAAATTAATAAATTAATAAATTATAATGTAAAACTTTGGTATCGATAACCAGTCCCTGCAGAAAAAAATGTAATACATCACCATAATTTTAAATAAGCGAATAGGTAGTATAGGTATATTATATGCGGTTATTTTTTTAGATAACTTAAGTGTTGGAAGTAGTCATGGAAATAATGTCACATTTACGTTTATCAAACTATAGGTACCTTAAAGGTTAGTTAATCAAAGGTTTTTCCTAAAATAAGTTAATTTACAAATTTTTCACAAATTTCACGCTTGTGAACATGCAACGGCAACGTTACATTAAATCTGGATTGGTAGAACGTTCGCAATCATAATAGAGAAAAATGTCCGTACGCAATTGTATCGTACACAATCATAACGCACCTTATCGAATAACCTGGGGTAGATCTCGTGAAAGAAAACTTTCAGGTTAAGGAATTGGGGTAGGTTCGGATGCCAAATTACCTAAGTCTGATACTTCGAGTTTAAGTAGGTATAGAGGAATAATTATGAAGGATATGTATGTAATATTAGTAAAGTTAGTATGGTTTGATGGTATCATATACGGAGCGAAGCGACAATAAGAGTGTTGTGCGATAATAAGGTGACATTAAAAATAAATGTAAATTGTATGAAACGATTGCAGTGAGAGCGAGTCTGAATGTTTCGAGGCACATTAAATAAAAGAGATGAAATAACTATTTTTTATTTTTATCTTTTTTTTAAATTGTTTTATTAGGATATCCACACAAAAATTCTTCGCGAGCTGTATTTCTATAGACCCGACTAATTTACCGACTTCTCTCGCGGTCAAGCATAATATACTCGTAAAACATTATGTTACGTTATTAAGAAAAAGTCCTATATAGATATGATTTATTTAGGTTTTGTTATTTTTTAATACTAAAAGTAGTCACAGTTAATGAAGAAATATGTATGTGTTTATTTTTAGTAACATTGTTTCTTGCTGGTTTATAGCTATTTTTATTTATTGTACCTACCTTCTAACAATATTTTTTTTATGCTATTTTCTAAATAATAATCGTTTTTCACGATATGATATAGTACTTTGTTCGTGGCTTCGCATAATATTAATTACTTTAAGTAGAAAGCAGAAATATGTTGCTATATCTCTATAATATATAAATTATAAGAAATTATAATATTCGGGGGGGTGGGCACAAAAAAACACAAATATTCAATCATTCGAATAAATGTGAAAAAAACAAATATATAATCGACAGTTTAAAAATGTACACTTTCTTTAACAATAGGTATTTATATTTATTTATGTTCAATTTATTAAAAATTCGTTACTCTGTACCTATTAGTGTAATACGCTTAAAAATTAAAAACAGAATATTGACGTACGCCAGCGTCGAGGACTACTCGTTACAATAAAATATTATATTCTCTAATCTCAAATAATATTACAATTATCATCGCAACGATGACAGCAAAACGTTACAATTTGTTCCATAAGGCATTTATAGCAACAATCTTTTGTTCCAAAAAATGTTTATCATAATGTCCCGTGTACATCTTGACACTTTATCAGTTATCATGACGATTAAATACAAATTATACAATAAGGTGTATATTACGTAAGGTTATACTCATTTACGTAGTAACTGTAATAGTTATAAAACATGTACATAGATACGGCAAATAAGGAGACAACGGGATCCTTGTGTCCTACACCCCCCCCCCCTAAATACGCCACTGATATAAAATAATATGTTCAAAGTTCAAAATATTTTAAAACGAATAAAAAATAAATATGTGTAAAAAAAAAAATGTTCTGGTTCTAATCAAAATTTAAAATCTTATATGTTATATGAATTACACACTATTATAATATCGTGTAGCCTATCGATTTCCATTAATAAGTTGTCTAACTATTTTTATTTTTAAATATTGAAATATAACATAATGAGTAGGTAACTGTGTATTATCAATATTAGTACTCGCTAAACTTCGAATAAATTTTTCATATAATATTTCTGCTCACATAGTGGATAATATCTTCGAAACATTAATATTTGTTGATCTATGACTTTGGATCAGTTTTAGGATTTTAAATAAATAATAGAAACTATTCGCAGTATTTAAGTACGTTTATGTTGTACATAATAGACGGATGAATATGTAGGTATACATAGACTATAGCTAGCTGTTTGTTTGAAGAATGTCCGGTTTTTCTGGGCCACCCCAGTATATTAAAACATGTAATATAATAATATGATTCAATAAAATATATATATACATAAATAAAAAAATTTAAAAAAACCATTAGTTCTTCAAAATAATATTTTAACTAGAGTATCTACACAACACGGATTGATCTTATAGAAGTATATTATTGAAATTTACAAAAACACGACACATATGTTATTTTTAAAATAAAAAATCATTCTTAATCTATCCGTTTAGTATTATCGTATTCTATATAAACAATAACAATGTAATTAATATCCACTTGATTGCATATTATTAAGTATCGAATTATCTCTGTCCAATCGTATTCATCTATAAAATGTAAAAGGTCTTAGGAAGCGTTTAGGTGTATTAATGATGCCTATTAATTTCATTGTTTGTACATTAGGCGTATATTATTATGTATAGGTATAATGAACAAAATCGCTTTCTTACTGCATCTAAATCGCAATTACTTCTGGCCCTGACTTCCGGACATTTTTCATCGTTTTTCATCAGTTTATAGCACCACGTCTGGCGGTTATTACTACCGAAACCGACTAGTAAATAAAAACAAATAACGGCCACGTTAAAATAAGTCATATTTTAAAATGTATATCAAATAAAAATGCACTCGTTAAATTTCGACTCGAGTGAAAAAAAAAAATAAAAAAATCTGGTTCAACAAAATAACTAATAGATGTGTCGCGGCAGTAGTACATAATATTATTTTTTTTTATCAGCGACCGATATCCGGTATTCAAATGCGCATAATAATAATAATAGTTCTAAATACTGTGTCGGGTCGGTCGATAAAAACAAATATTTATCGCTGTGTCCACACACATACACACAGAATTTCGACATTTCGAGTACTAGTCGCCTAATACGACGATCAAAGTTTTCAATACACCGATAATAATAGTAATAACTATTATGTCGTAATTTTCAACAGTACCCGCTGAAAATATAATATTATATACAGGTTGACCCACTTTTCCCTGCCTTAAAAATAAGAACTGGAAACGAACAGGATGAAATTAATGGTATTTGTCTATGAATATTGGTGTGCGCGTTTGTGTGTGTGTGTGTGTGTGTGTGTGTGTGTGTGTGTGTGTGTGTGTGTTATTTTTTCGGGAGGCCTCTTTAAAAACTGGTTCTCCGTGCATTGACCATTAATTGGAATACTCGTTTAAAAACACCGGGACAGCTGTAGTTTTTTTCTTTCTTTTAATATTAAGTTAATTCCAGCTCGTTGCGGGTATTGTCAGACATCTGTAAAATATCCATTATTATTATTATTTTAATTTCGATCGTCGGCGGCCGGCGGTATTAACTGCAGTGTACAAAACGCATTGTTGGTACACGTATATTATATTTTGAAGTATCCCAGAAATGATAATCACGGTGTATTATATTATTCATATGTTATATGATATTGTATTTGGCGATGAGATAGGCCCGAAGAAGACAACGTACGTATACATTGGAGAAAGCTCTGGAACGTTCAAACGCATATTCGGTATCTATAATAATAGTACCTATAATAAATTATCATATGTGCCCAGGTACCTATACAGGATTTATATTATTATGAACCAGCACGAATACCTAAGAAGAATTTGAGTAAATTTTAATTTGTTTTTTTTTTTTTTTTATCATCTGAAATCTACCCGTTTATAATAATATTTTACCCGGATAGTAATGTTACGACAGAATGTTAAATACCCATATATAATATATACTTTGACATTTTCGAAAGTAAGTACTTGTTGTATTAATATCGATAATATAATCGAATTTTGAAGTTAAGCACTGTTGCGATTTAATCGACGATATATTTGCAATATTCACATATTTTTCAATTCTTGTTATTATTTTTTGACCATATAGTTGACTGTTATTTGAATTTTTATAATTTTGATATTTTAATTTTATATCACAGATAACACATTTCAAACCGATAGGAAACGGTGGAATACTAACGTCATATTTTATGAATAAGCAATAATTAGCGGAAGAGGGGTGAAATCATATATGGAGGACTAAAAAAACAAATCATTATCTACAATAGAATAATGTATAGACGCGATATGGCTAGAACGTATTTAGCGTTAAGTAATATAAAATATAAATAGTCTATTACTTAACAGTTATGTAGTTAATCTTTTAAGTAACAATAATATAATTAGAGGTATCACAGAATAATCAATGTTAAAGTAAAATTGTGTGAGTTTTTCAATTTATATTTTATCATATTCTTTAAATTCTTATAGTCTTAGATGTACACCAAATTGGTTATGAAATGTTTTATAAACTTACAAGTTGTATCTCTAAAAGTATTAAGTCACTTTGCCTAAATTGTCTCGAAACGGAATCCGGAATACAACGGAATACATATTCAATATTCCCTGCGCTAATGATAAATCGCACTGTTTCTATAGTTATGTTAATTAGGAGATATTTATCAGATTATGTCTGTGATTTTTTAAGCCTAATAATATACGAGAATACATTGTTGGTGAAAATGTTTTATTTTGTCAGATTAATTAAGTTAATTGAAATGTCGCATTTGGGAGTTCAAAAAAACAAATGATAATAGTAATTTATGACCATCAGTCACATTCCAGTTTGTTTTGAATCTCTTTTATTTCTTCCATAATACGTCACAGACGGGAATATAGTATAAACTTAAAGATGATCTGCACATAACTTGGTGACGAACGCCGTAAACTTTGTTTTGAAAATCTTGAAAACTTGCAGAATTCTAAAGAACGATAATCAAAGTATCGATTTTGATTCAATTTCATTTTTCAGAAATATGTATGATTAATATTATTGTATTATCAGAATTTTTTATAGATAGTAGAATTTGTGAACAAAGAAAATATTACTACTGAGACCGGGAATTACGATAATATCGTCATTCTAACATCCGCACAATGATGTCATTGCCTTATTATTTGCATTAAATGAAAATATACGGACATACTTTTTACGATGGGTTGGCCACTATTGTAGGTGAAAATTTGGAAATGTAGGATATATAGAGGGGAATTCAATATAGATATGTACGCCCAAAAGTTTGATCATTGCTAACGAAAAATGATTTTGAACAGAGTTCAGTTATACATATTTTGAAAGGCCGTAATATTTCCGATTTGAAAATAATACATTTAGTAAATTTTCCCGTTTTACCAACGCTTTTTCCCGGTGTTTCCCATTTGTCATATAAAAACCACTGGGAAAATCAAAAAATGACCTCTTTAAAATACCATACCCTAGTCAAATTTCCTTTCAGAAAAAATGCTACACTTTAAAACCAGAGCAAATTTCTGGTAGAAAAGTGGTTCACAGAAAAATAAACATAAACATCATTGTAAAAAATACATTCCTCACTCCGCTCAGAATCTAAAATGCATTCATAGACATATTGCACATTGGACTGGAATGATTGGAGTGTAACTATGTATTTCAAACTACAACAGTTAAGAAACCAACATCATATCTTTAAATAATAAATTGTTAAATTAATTTTTTCAATATATCATGTCACTTTTGTAATTCAATATTTCGGAAACTGTAATCACGTTGTTATATAGGTATATTAATGTAAATATTGCTAATACATATTATATTGTTGTATATATATATTATTTTTGAGAGGAGATAAGGAGCATGGTTCGGTTGAAATTTAAAATGGCATGCTTACAAAATTGTCTAAAAACGGTAAAATATAGGTGTATGTATACTAAGGTGTTCTATGTTGAATACTAATTATTTACCGCGTTCTCTGCAATATGATGGAAATCGAAAGCTAAATTTGTTAAGGTTTATAAAGCTTTTAAACACAAAATATAAATTATTCATTGGTAAATGAGCTTCACTCGGAACACTTGAACGAAATGATTCATCACTTTCAAATTTAAAATGACAACATATTTCTGATGGTGGCGCACCCGTTCATCATTTATAATGTTCTTAAATGACTCAATATATTTAACTTTTTAGATTCTGAGTGGAGCGAGTAATGTATTAGTTTTACAATATGTTTATTTTTTTTATTATTTTTTTTTTTTTTTTTATGTGAACACTTTATACCAGAAAGCATGATAATCCGATTATCAAGTATAGCACATTTTCCGAAAGAAAATGTACTCTGGGTGGTACTTTAAACGAGCCATTTTTTTGAAATTCTCATTCATATTCGAGATAATGGAAAAAACTTGGTTCTTTAGGTTAAGAATGATTGAAAGATTAAAAATAAGGTTGTCATTGTCAGCCATTTTTATTTATTTTTCGTTATTATTAAATTTGTATTATTTTAATATTTTTCAAACAATTATTGTTGTCATGGAAATGCGCATTATTGTAATCATTTTATCATTAATATGATATATATATATATATTGTTGACAAAGTAACACTGTTAACTGAACTTCACTCAGAATGGTTTTTTCATTAGCAATAGTTTATCGTTGCTTACAGATATACATTAAATTCCCGTCTGTATCCTATCTTCCCTAGTTCCTACCTATAAAAGTGGCTGCACTCACGTGAGTGGGTGCAGCCACCTGTGTCCGTTTTTTTTTTCTGAATAATTGACTATCAGATATTAAATTCTTTAAACAGTAGATGCCTAAAAAATTTAATTAAAACGCTGAACCTCGTGACACGTCTATAATAAATAAGTTGGTGGCAGGTGCGCGCATTTCAATGTTTTGAAGCGCACAAAGTGTGTCGTAGTACACACACAAATAGCCACTGACCTAGGACCTAGGTACAGGTACTAGTGGTGGGCATAACCGAAAATAGTCACACTTGCACTGTTCGGTTGATTAAAAACTATTCGAATAGTTTTTCGATGTATTCAATTAGTTTTCCCGGAAAAAAACTATTCGATCGTGGAAAAAAGTATTCGATAATAATACATACGATATTTTTTCCAAACTATCGATTGTATAAACTATTTGTAAGTGCCCGTCACTAATAATTACTGAAAATTTCGTTTTTCGGTATTATCCTGACGACACAATAGAAAAAAACGTACATAAACACGATTATATCAATTGTGTACGGAAATCATTATACATAATTTTTTAATTTATAGGTTAAAGGCGATGGCTCAAAATATGTATAAAAAATATTATTATTGCTATATATATATGTGTGTGTGTGTATGTGTGTGTGTGTGTGTGTGTGTGTGTGTGTGTGTGACAACATGATAATAAAGACACTTTTGTATGGATTATCGAAATAATAACATAATACTCATTTTGTCGTGGTTTTTGAACAATACTCGTTAACACAATTATGTATTACAATATAATAAATGTATTGTATAGATACACTATATTATATTGGGTATAGTATTATAAATTTTAAAGCATTACTTAGTAAAAAAAAAAAATCATTTTTTTTCACGCATAAAATTAAATATTTATATATATATATACTCGTATTAATTTGTTCAAGAAAATGAACAATATTTTAACATATAGCCCGTATAGGTAACGTATTATTTGTGTATCGTATTTGCATAGTATTATAATATAAAATAATATTATTGCAATGATTAAAAACGATCGAATATTATATTATACTCGGGTCGACTACTCGGCGATATAGGTATTTTAAGGGAAGTGGCCAAACTACCTATACTAAAATATTATATATTATGTGCCACTTTCTCAATGAT